CAATTAGTCCAACAGACTAGTGGACTATGTTAACCTCAGCCTACATGACCATGAGACTAGAAGAACTAGATGGTGTTCTACTACCACTGTTAACCACTCAGAAAGGGATCAGTGCAGGAGATCCTGGACAGAGTGGGAGAAAAATGTTGAACAAAATTTATAACCATAAAAAAGACCAGGCATACTAGTTTGAGAGATTGGTAAAATCCCTGAGACAATGGTCCCTAGTTACGCTTTAGGCCTGGAATTGAACTCACTTCTATGGCTTCCAGCCAAACAATAGACAGGCATATAAGGTGAACATTTACACCAAGTGGGTACACGCCTTAAAACAATTAGTCTTGGGAGATCAGACCAGTATTTCCACAAGGAGATAGCTCAGAGGGCAGGAATACATAGGAAAGAAGGACAGAGGGAAAACATAACCAGAGGGAGGAAGCAGGTAAAGAACTGTTACATTATAGGATTACAGTCAATGCCATGTAATAAAATGTATATGAACTGCTGTATGGAAAATGAATTTTCTCCATAAACTTTCAACCAAATCACAATTTAGAAAATAAATAAACAAATAAAGAGCCATGGTATGGGGAGGGAAAGAAGTGATTATTACTTGTGATTGGAATGTGAAAGTTGGAAACAGATGAATCATTGGTAGTTGGAAAATATGTCCATGGTGAGAGAAATCATGCCAGAGATCACATGATAAGCTTGCAAGACCAATGACTTATTCATTGCTATTAACTTTTCAACAACATAAAGGATGGCTGCATAGGTGGACCTTGCCAGATGGAATACCCAGGAATCACATCAAAACTATCTGTAGAAAGAGACATAGGAGAAGCTCAATATTTTCGTCAAAACAAGGCCATGACATGGCTGTGGAATAGACCGTCAATTGCACATATGCAAGTTTAAGTTGAACCTGAAGAAAATTATTACAAGTCATTGAGAACAAAGTACAACCTTATATTCCACCTGACTTTAGAGACCATCTGAAGAATCAATTTGATGCATTGAACACCAATAACCAAAAAACAGATGATACATGGGATGACATCAAGATGATCATACATGAAGAAAGCAAACAGTCATTATAAGACAGGAGAGGAAGAACAAAACAAAATGGATGTCAGAAGAGACTCTGAAACTTGCTCTTTGAGGCAGAGTAGTTAAAGAAAGTGGAAGAAATGATGAGATAAAAGAATTGAACAGAACATCTCAAAAGGCAACTCTAAAAGACAAAATCAATTCTTAGAGTTAGCAAACCAAAAGGGAGGAACACATTCAGCATTTCTCAAGATGAAGGAACTAAGAAAAATTGCAAGCCTTGAGTTGCAATATTGAAGGATGCTATGGTAGCATAGTGCCTAAGGCATTTTTGACTGCTAATCAGAAGGCTGGCGGTTCAAACCCACCAGCCACTCCTTGGAAGGAAGGTTGGGCAGTCTACTTTCTTAGTGATACAGCCTGGGAAACCCAAGGAGGGGTCGCTATGAGTTGGGTCCGACTTGATGACACATAACAGCAACAGCAACATAATTCAAGCTGGATTCAGAAGAGAATGTGTAATGAAGGATATCATTGCTGATGTCAAATGGATTTTGCCTGAAAGCAAAGAATACCAGAAAGATGTTTACCCATATTGTAATGACTATACAAAGACATTTGACTGTGTGCATCATAACAGATTATGGATAGCATTGCAAATAATGGGAATTACAGAACACTTAACTGGTCTGATGAGGGATTTGTACACAGGTGAAGAGGCTGGTGTTTGAATGAGGGTATGCTGCATGATTTAAAAGCAACAAGAGTGTGCATCAGGGTTGTATTCCTTCACCATACTTATTCAATCTATATACTGAGGAAATAATCCCAGAAGCTGGACTCTATGAAGGTGAACACATGCATCAGTTTTGGAGGAAGACATAATAACAACCTGTGATATGCAGATGACACAATCTTGTTTGCTGAAAATAAAGATGCCTTGTGGCTAAGGCATTTGACTGCTAACCAGAAGGTTTGCAGTTCAAACCCACCATCCACTCTGCAGAAGGAAGACTGGGCAATCTACTTCCATAAAGATTTACCACCTCAGAAACCCATAGGGGGTTGCTGTGAGTCACAATCCACTAAATAGCAATGAATTTGATTTTGTTTGTTTGTTTGTTTTGAAGGGAGGGTGTTGAAGCACTTACTGATGAAGACGAATGACTTTAGTCTTCAATATGGATTACATCTCAACACAAGGAAAACAAAAGCCTCACAGCTGGACCAATAAACAGCATTACAATAAATAGAGGAAAGATTGAAGTTGTCAAGGATTGCATTTTTTTTGTATCCACAGTCAACATCCATGGAAGCAGCAGTCAAGACTTCAGGCATGGTATTGCGCTGGGTGAATCTGCTGCAAAAGACCTCTTTAAAGTGTTGAAGAGCAAAGATGTCACTTGGAGGACTATGGTGTGCCCAATCCAAGCAGGTAAAAGCTGGACAATGAGTGAGGAAGACCAAAGAAGAGATGATATTTTTGAATTACAGTGTTGGTGAAAAATCCTGGAAATACCCTTGAGTGTCAGAATAATGAACAAATATGTCCTGAATGAAGTGCAGAAGGAATGCCAGACTTTGTCTTACCTATTTTGGTCATATTGTAGAGACCTTTCTCTGGAGAATGATATCATGCTTGGTAAAGTAGAGGGTCAGCAAAAAAGGAAAGATCCTCCCCAAGACAGATAAACACAGTGGCTGCAACTATGGGCTCAAGTATAACAAGGAAGGTGAGGATAGCACATGACCAGGCAGTGTTTCATTCTGTTGTACATGTTGTTGTTGCTATGTGCCGTCGGGTCTGTTGTACATAGAGTCCTGTAAATTGGAGCTGACTTGATGACACCTAGCAACAACACCAACAATAAAGTTCTTAAAAATTGGAATCATAATAAACACATAGTTTACATCAGTCCACATTCCTTGAATTGACTGTAATAGACTTAAAAAAAAAAAAAAAGACTATAATAGACTTCAAAAGAAAAACGAAGGTCAAATTGAATTGTGTTCCAAAGCGTTCTTTCATCTTCTGAGCTAATTCTTCAAATCCTATAATTTATACTCAAAAGCACTACAAAATAATGAAGAGTCAAAGAATTTGCAAAACTACATGTAATTATAATGAAGAACAAATTTATTATGTATCAATCACTCAAGTGTTTCTCAAGATGTTACCAGAACTTGAATAGGGAAGAACTGACACTTTCTTTGCGGTCATTTGAATTATCTCTCCCAATTTTCCATACCTCATATTGGATGTTATACCAAAGGAAAGAGGACAACTGCTGTTTATTAATTGTCAAATTATGCCCATGCTCCAGTTCTTTCCCTTTATTATTTTATTTAGTGACACAGCAGGAAAGAGTTATATATTAAGAGCATAAAAAAATAAGATTCAGATTACCAAATTTCTGTCTCCACTCTGCCACTTGCTATTTATATAACCATAGTCCAGTAAATTAAGTTCTCCTCATCTATAAAATGTGGATAATTATAGCAGTGACCTCATAGCAGATTAAAAGCAATACATTATATAAAGCATTTTAAACAGTGCTTAGCATGTAGTGAGCACTCAAAAATGTTAGCTAGTTGTAGTTATTGTGGAATTGTTTATAACTATATCATATATTCACAGTAGAAACATATATCAGCCTCTTTAGACCATGGTCAATTAAATACAAACATCTATTATCTAAGAGTCTTAGAAATCAAATGTACAGTATAAAGTAATTAAGGACAATTGCACACAACTGGTTGTGCACTATTAATATAGAGAGTACAAGTCGTATTTGGCAAAATAAAAAATCAATGACCTGTTAATATAAAACAATTTTAATTTCTATGATTGTATGTATCAAAGTATATGGTTTTCTGTTGTTTTCCCTTTACACCTTCTGTCCTGACCTATTTTTTTGTGTCTCCGAATACAATATCCATGCTGATGACTTCCATATTCTTATCTCCAGCCCTTACCTCTTCTCTGAGCTTCACCATGGTATACCAAACAGATTTCTGGACATCTCCTTTTTGAAGTTGAAATCTCAAATTCAAATATTTCCTAACTATACTTTTGATTTCTGTCCATACCACTCCACTCTAAATGATCAGCACTTGAAATCTATCCCTCCCCCAATTTTTCTTATTTTAATTAATGGAACCCCTGCACAACCTTTTCCTACCCTCAAGTAAAATAATAATAACAATAATAATAACAGTTATTCATGATTCTTGTTTATATCTTACCTGTCACATTCAATCCATCAGCAAGTCCTGGGAATTCTGTCTCCAAAATACACATATCTCCTTCTCCACTACCTACATCTTAGCCCAGATCACTACAGTCATTTGACTGGTCTTTAAAATAATAGATAACACACCCATAGTCTTACCTCACTGCAATCTATTATTTGCAAAAGTGCCAGAGTGACTTATATATCACTCTAACATAAAATCCTACAAAGCTCATGAGATTACCCTTTTTAACTTCATCTGCCCACTCCCAGTCACTCTCTATACTTCTGACAGATACTTTGGCCTTATTTCTGTTTCTCAAATAGCTCGCATTCTTGCACCTATTAGGGTCTTTGTACAGACTATTTCTTCTGCTTGTCATTCTCTTCGTACTTCTGTCCTCATCCTTCAGTTTCAGTTTAAATATCACTTCCTCAGAGTATTTTTTTCTGATTGCTTTCTCTAAGTAGGTTAGTCACCTGCTATTCTCTATCATAGAAAATTTCTTCTTCAAATTATTTTCCAAACTGTAAATATATATTCATATGTTTATTTAGCCTGTCTCTCCCTCTGGACTTTAAGCCTCATGAAGGTAAATATATCTGTTTCTCTCACAGCTATTTACCTAGCTAGTGGCTAATATATTCTATGCACTCAATAAATATTCTTTTGAAATGAACTACTGAAACAAAAGTATTATTCCTTTTTTTCTTCAGAATTCTTTTCTGGACAGACTGGGATGCAAATTTTCCTCGCATTGAATCTGCTTCTATGAGTGGTGCTGGGAGAAAAACCATCTACAAAGACATGAAAACGGGGGCTTGGCCTAATGGACTAACTGTGGACCACTTTGAAAAAAGGATAGTTTGGACAGATGCCAGGTTTAACATATTATCTCCTTTATCTACACATTTTTTTTTTACCTTCCTCATATATTACTTTCCTAACATGCATGTATCATGTACACATACAATGGAATCAGTGGTTAGTTTTTATTTATTCTTTGTGATGGTGGTGATTTTCTGGCTTCTCATAAATACAGGCCCATAACGATACTCATCATGTATTTTCTTTATCATTTGTATGATTATTTATGTAATCTGATTAATTTGATTACATTGCTGGACTATTTGAATGGGTTTTGATAAAGTGCTTATGTATTTACCTTTCTGTAGGTCAGATGCTATTTATTCAGCTCTCTATGATGGAACAGGAATGATAGAAATAATCCGAGGTCATGAATACCTTTCTCATCCTTTTGCTGTTTCTCTGTATGGGAGTGAGGTCTTTTGGACAGACTGGAGGACCAACACCTTGTCCAAAGCCAATAAATGGACAGGACAGAATGTCACTGTGATTCAGAAAACCAGCGCACAACCATTTGACCTTCAGATATACCATCCCAGCCGTCAGCCTCAGGGTAAGTGCTTGTTATAAATTATCTACCCAGAAAATATTTTCACCTTAATCTTGTCATGTTTGATTTGCAAAGTAACTTTTTAAGGTAACCAAACAAAAAATAAACCCACTGAACTCTGGTGGCATAGTGCCTAACGTATTTGGCTGCTAACCAGAAGGCTGGCAGTTCAAACCCACCAACCACTCCTCAGAAGGAAGTTGGACAATCTTCTTCCGTAGAGATATTGTCTCAGAAATCCAAGGAGGGGTTTCTACGAGTCATATCTGACTCAAAGGCCGTGAATTTGGTTTGGATTTTGGCCACTGAGTTGATTCCAACTCACAGCAACTCTGTAGGATAGAGTAAAGTAGAATTGCCCCCATAGGGTTTGCAAGGCTATAAATCTTCACGGAAGGTAGGGTAATCCTACTTTTGTAGTGATACCACCTCAGAAACTCAAGGAGGGGTCACTATGAGTTGGAGCCGACTCAACGGCACATAACAACAACAAAAAAAAAACCTTTACGGAAGCATGCTGTCTCATCTTTCTCCTGAGGAGTGGCTGGTGGGTTCAAACTGCTGACCGTACAGTTAGCAGCCTAATGCCTTAAACCCTGCTTGAGTAGAGCTTCTTTTACAGTTACTAATATTTAATATTTATACCCAAACGTAATATTTATATTTGTTGTGGTTGTGATTACAGTATTTTAATTCAGGATTTTTTTTTAAGTTTTATTTTGCATAGAAATAGAAAATCTCAGAAACTAGGAATTTTGCACTCATTTCTCTAATCCTTAGTCAGTGTTATTTCATCAGTGAAAGGCACTGTGGGAAGTTGTATAAGGTCTTCACGTTTAGGACTCTATTATCCATGTATGATCAGTAAATTAGATGAGAACATGAAGCACACATTTATTATCCAAGCAGTCGCTGTGTAGTACAATGAAAGGAAATGGTATGGCATGTGGGAAGGATAAATTTCATGTTTGAGCTCCTCCATTTTCAGTGAAGTATGTACACACAGGCAAATGTGCTACCTCTGCCCATGTATTCCACATTTTGGTTCAATGGTAATCTATAATCTCAGTTTTGTGATTTCATTTCTTTCACTCAATCT